AAACAGAGTCATGCTGCTGTTCTAAACCCATGCCTGCAACATGCAGGCTGTAGGTCTGAGATTCTTTTTGGAAAAATTCAGTGGCATACCTATATCTGCTTACTATCCATATGCTTGACATAATGTATTAGTCTAATGTTTAAAAGCATGGAGGGAAATTCTTAAGCATAAGAATAAGAAGCCTTTATTTACACAACATTAACAAGAGTAACAGTTTACTCATTTATTTGGCTTCAGTGAAAACTAAAATATTTTGTCTCAGTGGGTTTTCCAGATAACTAAACTTTCTTGTCTAAGCACCACATTAAATTTTAAAAATAAACATTGGCAGGGAGTGGTCTTTCTATGATATATCATTCACTTGCTTGCCTTAATCCAAACTCACTGAAGATCATTTTTTCTCTTTAGTATAACAGTAATAATCATCAACCTTTTCTGTGGAGATAAATAAAGCTACTTTTTTCCCTTATTAAAACTGCTTGGAAATGACCAAAACAGTGCGAGGATGCCAAACAATGCTGTCTGAAGAAATCAGATACAAGGGGGACATTTGGGCTTAGAAAAGAATTAAAAGAAAACATAGGGTAGCCTCCCAGTATGGAAAGGGAAGTGAGAGGTGGTGGAGAATAATTTGTCTGTAAAATTCCATAAAGTCAAACCAAAAACGAGTGGAAGTTGCAAGGACATAATCTTCTAACAATTAGTAAGGTCTCCATCATTATTAGTAACCAGGGAAGGATGTGGGCCCAGCCATTGTGGGGATCCCTGCCCTGGCATGGAAGATGGGTTCTGTGATTACGGTGGGAATTTGGCATCAGCGTCTGTGCAGCGTCCATTCCCTCTTCTTCTGGTGATAGCAGCTTGATTTCTTTGGGAAAACCCCTGTCCCATTCTCAGCCCACATGGCTTGAGGCAGGCTTTCCCATGTGGCTCTTAGGACAAGCACATGACTCACGTCTGCCTGATCAGTGGATCAGATCCTCCTTGAGTGTGACTGGTCCAGAGAAGGACACTGACCAAAGCAAGCTTATTTGATTCTATTCAGGAACTCTTGAGATACATTGGAAAAGAGGGTGAGTACGTGGCTCCAGTGGTCACCCTACTAGCAGGAGAGGAGAGCCTTTTGGAAAAGAAGCCAACACGGCCAAAGGTGCAGGTAAGACAGGAAGACAGTGAGACAGAGTCCTGATTATACTGTGTGAGCACCTGAGCCCTGTCATACCTGCAGTTGCAATTCATCTTGGATCTTCTCAAATACATGAGCCAATGAATTCTCTTTTGTCCTTAAGCCAGTTTTGAGTTGGGTTTCTCTTACTTGCAACCAAAAGCATCCAGCCTGGTTGATACAATGTTTGTATAGCTCCTTATAATTCTAGGATTCTAGGTTTTTTATTAATGATTCTACTATTTCTGTATTTTAATGTTTTTGTTTTTAATAGGTCAACTTCAGTCTTACCTGCCTCAAAGTACCCTCCATCTAAAAACTAAAAGTAAATAAAATAATCAACCTTATTCAATTAGTAGGCTTAATTCCTCAATTCATCCAAATGATTCCAACTGCATTCATGGTGACTAGAGATCTCGCCCGAGGACTAAAGCTCTTGAGCTGTGTGACAGGTCTTCCCTGTTTTAAATGCCTGATATTGCCTACACTGATTGCTGGAGACATATATAAGACAATAAGAAATGTTTTACGTTTACGGATATTCTGCCTACCCAAGAAGAATGCCATAAAATTACTTGAATTTTCAATCTTTCGTTTAGATGCTTGGATTAACATAGATAAGGTTAGTGTGAATATGCTGCATATTTTCAAAAGAATGGGAAGCCAAAACAAGAACACATTTGAATATTTGAAACACATTTTTAAGATAACGAACATGTTAACGTTAAACCAGTGTTTCTGAATCTATATCCACTTAGCTAACTACAATATCACCATAAGGTTAGATGAGACAAAACCTCTTTAATTTTTACAATGTTGCTTCTAATACCACTACTGTAAACTCACTTGTAGGCAGTTGATTTATTAAAATTGAAATTAAATGTCAATAAGTAAGAGTTTAGCAAAGTCTTTCAAAACATAGAATCTAGGCAGAACATTAATAAAAGGGTGCTTGATCATAAAGTGTTGTTTCACTGTGTTATGCCAGTATTTTTTACTTAAGGGATTAATAACCTTTTTAATCAAAGGTTAAAGACTTGCCTTGTGATTCCTAAGATTCTACATCTCAAAAGAGAATTAAGGCTAATGAGGCAGTGCATTAGAAATTATTACTCAATGCTGTATAGTCATAGAATTTTGTACTTCATGTTGGTCTACCAGGTCAATCCTTTCCTAAAATAGGGGTTCTAAAATTTTTTACTCATCAGTTTCATCTACAATTGCTTTTGCTCACTCATCCACTTCATTTTCCCTCTTCTCTATTGGAAAGAAATGAGAAAAATGGCAGAATCTCTTCTCTGCCAATGAGAAAACAATCGTAGAATCTTTCTCATTGTTCACCCATTTCAGAAATTAAGAAATGTTTCACTTGCTGTGTTTTTCTCCGAAGTTAAAAACCAGTGGCTCATGAAGTAAACTTGGTCTATAAGCACAGTTTGTATTGTACATCCATTAAAATAAAAATTAGTTGCTGACATTTAAAAGTTGGAAGCTCAAACAAACGTCTAGATTTCTAGTTTCTTTTGAAGAACAAGAAGATGAGGAGGTACCTGACCTGTGTCTCTATATGGCTGAGCGGCAGGTGTCTCCCTTGGATGGGGCACACACTGAAGTCCCCAGCATTCCCCTATGCTACACCTGGCCAGTTTTTTTAATGCATTTACATTAACAAAGTCATCATATCTGGTTAATACATTCTGAGTGAGGTGGGAAGGAGGATCAGAACTGTGAGAACACAGCACTCATGTGGAGAGTAAGTGCTAATATTGACAGTCTGGGACTAGCCTGGTCCCAGTGAAGGTGGAGGCGATATATAGCAGTAATTAGGTAATGATGGGGAGTTTCCTCAGTTTAAATATATATATTTTAGTGCAAAATAAATGTTGAAGCATATTTGGAACATATTAGTCAAGTCAGGAATAGACAGAATGAAAACTGGATAAAGACAAGCTTTGTGGTAAGTCAAGCGGTGGAAACAATCAATTAAATTCACTTATATAGAATTCTTGATACTGGCATGCTATTTCCCCAAAGATAATTTAATTAGCTTGTAACAATGGTTAAGCTGTAGCAACAGAAAGCAGTCATTAATACGGTTCGAAATATTAGGCTGTCTCTTTTCTTCCAGGCACATAGTAAGATTATATTTCACTGCCGGGTTGCAGGAACATGTGACTTGTTTTGGCCAATGAAACGTGAGTGAAAGTGCAGTGCTGCACTTCTAAGTAGAGGCTTTAAGAACCCATGCATGTTTGGCTCTTTTCCTTCTGCAATGGCAATGTTCCAAAGCATCTTAGTCCACCAGGCTGGCCTTGGAGAGGAGGAGAGCTACCACCAAACCACTGATGTGCACTAGGTTCGAAAGAGAAATTGCCTTTTGTTGTCATAAGCCAGAAACTCGGGGTTTGACCTACAACGTTATTATAACTTTATTCCTTCATGATTTTTGACATGTCTAATACTCATATTATTATTGTCTTAATGTCATTTTAAAATTAAAACTTTTAAAGTGTAGCCTTATTCTGAGAAATACACGTAGTACATACTAGTTATATTTCAATTATATTAAAAGTAAGTACATAACTATTAAAAGTAATCTCATGTGCCACATTTTAAGGAACACTGAATTAAACAAAATAGAAAATGAATCTCAAGTTGAAGATTGCAAAATAAGCAATTATGCTATCGATTTTCAGGTTTGGCTACAAATTTGAATGCCATGTCAACATTCAATGAACTACATTGCTTTCTTGATATACTAGAAATCAGAAGGGGATGCATACTATGAATTTAATACATGTGTTACTCCATAGTCCATAGCAAGCATTAAAAAATAATATATGTATGAATACACCATTTATAAACCATACCAGGTTTGTTTACAAAAACTGTTGAAATGGACAACACTGTCATCATCAGATCTAATTTGTATATGCAAATCCAAAGGTGTACAGGTGTAAAGGGTAGATACACACACATTTTTATAGGTTTCCTTCTTGCATCCTTGAGTACTTGACGTTTAGCATTAATTAAAATCATTATATATACAGCTGGCAAATCCTGTCTTATAGGTGACAAACAGATCCGTGCATAATTACCATTTTGCAACAGATTAAGTAGATTACAGAAAAAGGTACGGGATATTTTACAGGGGTGACAGCCAAGAAAAGGTCTTAGAAACACCTGCCATTTCATGCAAGCTAATGAAAACCTCAAATAACTCCTATATATTTGCATTGTATACACTACATGCATTCTAAATGTAATTCATGTATAAGAAATATACAGACGAAGAGTTTAGATATTAGAAAGAAAAAGAACCTGTTGTCTCAAAAAGATGTAACTGAAATAAAAATCAAGCATAATAATCTGCTGCATGAAGAATGAGTTTTGAAATTAGAGATAGCCTCAAAAAAGGAGAAACTAACAGGAGACATAATAGCCACTGCCATATAATTGAAGGGTTGTCATAGCAATTAAGACCTGGGCTTATTTACATATGCCAAAGGACTTAGGAGGGGGAAAGGTGGGGACAAAAATTTCAGGCTAAAATTAAGGAGGATGTTTCTAACTGTTCATCTTCAGGCAGCTCTGGCAGTCTTCGGCAGGGATCATGTGATCTATCTCTGCAGGGAGTGCTTTGTAGAATTCCCAAATCCAGAAGGACTATAAAGATCAATAACGTACCACTCATCCTTCCAAAGCTTCTGTTCTTTTTTTAACACTTAGTCCAGGAATAGCAGATAGTCACCCCACCTTCCCCTTAGAATTATTAATAACAGACCAACAAATTATTACAGGTTAACCAAATATTGAAAATAATTCAAGACAGTACCTTTCATTTTCTTTTAATATGTCCCTTCCTTTCTTCCAGGTGTAAACAGGTTTTGGAGATGCTTTTGGCTTACACTCAATGACAACTTCACCTCCCACTTTCACAAGAGTGATTCTTTTCAGGAGTGTTCTTGAAAAATCTGGACCTACAGCTGAAAGACAGTGAAAAAATAATTATTATGCAAGACAGCCTTCCATGAGATAATTC